GTTTTGGCTGAAGAATTGTTAGCCAAAACTAGAATCTCAGTTTTGGCTAGCCAAAAGTGGAATCTTAGTTTTGGCTAGGCAAATCTAAGATTTGACTGAATTCCAGTTTTGGCTACAACATATATATATCTTGCGCTCTACCGATGACGATAGAGAAAAATCTGTTTTCCTACGATAGAGAGAGAACAAGAGAAAAATATACGCTTACGCCGCATATTATATATATCTTCTATACGGTCAGCTTTCAAGCAGTTTGACGGCCAACACATAGCGCCCTCACCAGGATGTGAATATGGCTCATTATCAAAAGTATATTTATAATTGGTGGATGGAATGATACGAATTATTTGGTATTACGAAATCAAATTGATCTAATACTTAATCGTTGTGAAATCAAAATGAAACAAAATAATTCATCATCACCTAACAATTTTGATTAATTTGTGAGTGAAATTATGTTTAACTTAATTAGTTTTAATTTACCAGTAAAAACATTAGATGGTAAAGATAAAGAAGAAGATGAGGACGACAATTCAAATGATTATGTCGTTGATGCTACTATCATATATGATCGATCATCAAATCCTCATACATTTGTTATTGGTCAATATGTCGGTAGAGAAGATCAAATGACTACTGATCGAAATGATTCATTATTACAAGTTATATATAAATTTGATCGAACATTGAAACATTTCCGCGCCTTCATATGCACAAATGCTCGTCAATCACCTTATTATACTGATTTGTTAAATCAAGTGTTATTCAATGTTAACGATCAATCGTATATTTATGATTCCTTCGATGATGATAATTTTAAAAGAAAATAGATACCCCCCCACCCCCCATAACAGAAGCCTCCGGGGCTTCTAAACTGTCCAAGTGTTCAAATTTTTAGGGGGGCTTGTATTATGAAGGGGCTACTATTACGACTTTCGTACAAAAATTTTCAGAAAAAAAAGGAGATTTTGAATTTCGATGCTCTTGCCTTTCTAATCACGGTAATCTCAATTAA